GTTCATTTATATTAATTCTTCTACATCATCTCCGCTTACCTCTCCTTCTCCCTCACCTTCACTTCTCTTTGACCTACTCTTTCTCCTTCACCTCTTTCCTGTTTCCACTCAGCCGCATTCTCTTACTCATCCTTCTCATACACCTTTGGCAACACCTTATTCGTTTCATTAACATTTCGTCTCTTTCTTTTCTTAATCCTCTTCGTATTCCTCTCTCTCTCTCTCTCTCTGATAGAATTCCATTTTGACTTCAATTAGGAAGTTAAAAATTCTTTTATTATCAAAATTTTGCATTTACATTATAATTATATTATTTAGAATTTGTGTACAAAATATATACATATAATAATATACATTTCTCAGACTTATTCTTAAATACTCTTACATAGCTAAACATATCTTAAATGCTATACTTATAAATAGTATTTAGGCTTTACATATTAAGAATGGTCTTCTTGATAATATCAATGCTCTCCAGCATCTGGGCCTCATTGATGACCAGAGGCGGGGCAAAGCGGATGATGTCGCCGTGGGTGGGCTTGGCCAGCAAACCGTTGTCCCTGAGCTTCAGGCAAACATCCCAGGCATCGTATTCTACGAGAGATCAAAGATGGAGAGTTAGTTTAATGAAAGATGAGATAAGTAAGATTCGACTTACTGGAATTAATGACAATGGCGTTGAGCAGACCCTTGCCTCTCACCACCGAGACCACCTCCTTGGGCAGCTTGGAGAGCTCTCCGCGCAGGAGTTGGCCCATCTTGAAGGCATTCTCAGCCAGACGCTCCTCCTGCAGCACCTCCAAAGCAGCGATGGCCACACGGCAGCCAAGCGGATTGCCGCCATAGGTGGAGCCATGCTCACCCGGCTTGATGCACAGCATCACTTCATCATTGCAGAGCGCAGCCGAGACGGGATAAACGCCGCCAGAGAGCGCCTTGCCCAGAATCAGTATATCGGGACGCACTTCCTCATAGTCCACGGCCAGCATGCGCCCGGTGCGCGCCAGTCCAGTCTGAACTTCATCGCCGATCCAGAGCACATTGTGCTTGGTGCACAGCTCGCGCACCTTGCGCAGGTAGCCCTCGTCCGGCACCACGACGCCCGCCTCGCCCTGGATGGGCTCCACCATAAAGGCGCACACCGTCGGATCCTGCAGCGCCTTCTCCAGTTGCTCCAAGTTATTGTAATCGATCAGCTCAAAGCCGGGCATATATGGACCGAAGCCCCCATAGCTGCTCGGATCACTCGATGCTGAGATGGCCGCCAATGTGCGGCCCCAGAAATTGTTGCGGGCGAAGATGATCTTGGCCTTGTTCTCGGGTATCTGCTTCTTCACATAGCCCCACTTGCGAGCCAACTTGCAGGCCGTCTCACAGCCCTCCACGCCTGTGTTCATGGGCAGCACTTTGTCATAGCCAAATAATTTCGTAATATATTCCTCATATTCGCCCAGCACATCGGAGTAGAATGCGCTGAAAGAAAAAGTTGTTAAGAAGATTAAAGATTAGATAAATGGAAACAAGTATATAAATGAATCAATATAGTATATGTAAAAAAAAAAAAAAAAATTAGAAAAAAAAAATTAATTAAATAATTATCTAAAAAATATATATATATAAAAATAAAAATAAATAAATAAAATAAAAAATAAATAAAATCAGCAAAAAAATAATGGAATGAGGAAACAAGTATGCATATTAATGAATCATACTATATTGATTGATATTGATATTGACGGTAAAACTATCATAAAAAATTAAGAAAAAAAAAATAAAATAAAAAAAAATAATAATAAAAAATTAAAACGAGCAAAAAAATATAAGTAAATATTATATCATTATATAATTTTATATTAAATATATTAAGGTATCTACTGGCTCGCTAAGCATTAAAATGATGGCGTTGCAGTTCTCACACCTGGTCATTCCTCATGTACATAGGTAGATCATATTTCGAGTATTTATATTTATATAGAATAACAAAGTACACGTATATATTAAAAGAAAATGAGAAAAAAGTCTTCAAAAAACCTCAAACATATTTTAAAATTTCTATTTAAAAATCCAAGATTCAGTCACATGACCTTAAACAAAAAAAATCAAGTCTGATGTGTTAATCGCATCCTGATATTTTGCTATATTGATAACCCCTAACACTACACAGCCAATCGAGCTTATCTGAAATTGTTTAACGCTCGACAATTTGCACTCTACAAATCATTATTATAAATTAAATATTTTTCTTGAGCAATTTCCGGTTAGAATTGGTTTTCAATCGAAAAATTTCATTGTCAGGTATTAATGCTTCACAAGTTGGGTCATTAAGAGCAATTAAATGATTTATTGATGGTATTATTTAAAGCGACTTAAGTGTTTTTTTATTTGCAGCTCCTTAAAAATTCAAGTGCTTTCAATTGCTAATTGCATATGCGCTATATACATACATATAATATATATGTGATAAGAAACATTTTGGTTTAATATATATGTTAAATGGTTCAATGATAATTCATTTATTTCTATTAAATGTAAAATTTTGTTTTCCATATATATTTACTGATAAAACTATTAAATATATATTATGTGAATTATCAAAAATTTCGTTTCCTGCCAATTTTTTATTTTTATTTTTAAAGTCAAAAAAATTTATCTTATCCTTAATTTACTCATTTTTGTTTTATTTATAGATTTAGCTTGAAGTCTTCTGATTAGGTTGTTAAAATGTGTTTTTATATTTCTTTTAATCTCAATCTAAGCACATTAGACTTTGACGGCAAAAATTTTAAAACATAATTTTGCGCTTTAAGAGGGGTTACTATACACATAATAAAAATAAGTTAGCAACATAAAACTGCCCTCTAATCAGTGATAACCAAATAATAAAAAAAAGTCACTTGACATTGATTACGAACTGCAATCAATTTGGGCACACAGCAACAATAATAATTCAGAAATATCAACAAAAACAACAACGGAACAAACAAAATCAAGTTCAATGAAATGTTTAAAAATAAAGCTCATAAAGCTTTGGAGCAACGTGCTCCGATAAGCTTTAAAGGGGGGCACGTCCCGCAGCAGCATACAATTGTTTGTTATTTTTCTTCTTCTTTGTATTTTTGGTTGTTTCACTTACCGTGACGTGAGTGCTAGTTTTTTTGACTGCTCCGTGAGTGCCTGGATAATCTTGGGATGACAGTGACCTTGGTTAACTGCGGAATAGGCGCTGAGGTAGTCGTAGTAGCGTTTGCCCTCCACATCCCACACGTGCACGCCCTCGCCCCGGCTAAGAGCCACGGGCAGCGGATGATAGTTGTGTGCTCCATATTTTTGTTCACGTGCAAAGACCGCCTCGGAGCGGCTGGTGTTCGTTGGGCTCGTCTCCTTGGGCTGTGATTTCTGTGCCATGCAGCTCAGGCGGCTGGCAATACCACGTGTACTCAGTTTGGAGAACATATTCGATATGGTTCTTAATTGAAATATGATTACAATTCGTTGAGCGGATCTGTCACACCTTCACACTTGATCGCTGCCAGCGGCTTACTGAAAGTTCGCTCGCAATGACAGCTGGCTATATATACCTAGTGCGTTATTCTCTTATTTTTTGACGAGTCACACGATTTACGACAAGCTTTTTTACTGCAGGCCCCCTGCGTAGAATGAGCGAGCGAGAGGGAGAGTGAGAGAGGGCACAGAGAGCCAGTGAGAGAGAGAGGGGAAGTGAGTGCTGCTACTTAACACTCTTTGCTCGTCTTGGCTTTGGCAGCTTAGCTTAGAATGACTTATTGGTCTTATCTGCTTAAGGTTTTTAATGCCAGGGCACACACATACACAGATACATGTTTGCGATTACTTATGTACGTATGTGTGTATGTTTAAAAATAGCTCAATTGATGCTTTGCTGTTGGTTCTGCTGCTGTTGTTGTTTTTGCTGTTATTGTTATGTTATTTTGCTCTACAGCTATCAGCAGAAATTTTCCATTACTCAATTAAGCTGGCTGCGAGTGCCAAAAGCTTTTGGTATGTGTGCTACAGACACCCTATGTGCCAGCTCAGTGCTGGTTTAAAGGGGTATAAGTGTTACTGATATGTAAGCAATATATATGAAAATAAAAAAATCAAAAGAGCTCGTTTTGAATGCCTTTTAAACGCTAATTATTTATGCCTAATACATATATTTATTTTTAAAATCAATGCATATCAATCGTATGTTTGTTTACAGGGCATCGGTGCCTCAGTCATGCTCCATTTTGACTACGAAATATTTTCATATGAAAATCTAAACACATGTGGGTTTTACTGTAGTCATGGAAATTGTAAGAGCTTTAAACACAAACGCTGCCTCAAAGTTCAGCTGCATCTTGAGCATTGCAGTTATTTTCGTTCCAATAAAGCTTTTGTCACCAACAGCTGTTTGAAGAGTTCGATTAGACAATACACAGTGAAAACTATATAGGAATGTGAATATCTTAATTAATTGATATATAAATAAGCTGATAATATTTGTATGCGAGCGAATGGTTAATTAATTCTAAGTAAACAAAAATATTATGCAGGGTGACAAATTATTGTTCTTGACTGCTAATGAAATGTCGAACGATTTGTTATCAGTTGTGTCAGTTCAAAGGAGAATTATTAAGCTCGTATAATAAATCCAATAAATTGGGGCAGATTAATGATAATGTAAACAGTTTTTAATGGTTCTACCAAATTAAACAGAACACATTTATTTTGTTAGTATTTTAATATATTTATTTGATTTTTCATAAATATTTTACGCTTAAAATGTACAACTAATTGGCTTAGTTATGATAACTAATTTCATTTGTATTTAACAATTATAGCACATTCAAGAATTTGGAGTACTAAAAAACAAAGAAAATTATTTTTATATCGAGCTGCTCGGTAAACAGCCAAAAGGCAACGCAAAAATTGCACTAAACATCGATGTTTGGAAATTAATTTTGTTAATTTCGAGAATTGCAAAAAAAAAAAAAAAAAAAAAAAATATATCGTAAATTTACATAGCGAAAGGGGAAAAAATAAACAAATTAAATAAATATTTTTAGAAATAATTGGTTGCTCGCTTTTGGGCAGCACCGCAGAAAGGAATCGAGACAAAAACTGTTGCCCGCTTTGGGGCGAGCGTTTGACATGCCCAATTAAACATGATATTCGCTTAACTTGTTTCATTAGCTACCACAATATTTGAATTAATTAACTGTAATAAATTCACGCTTTGATTGCTCAATTCGCCGTCTACTCCATGGCCGGGGTGGCAGCGCTCTGCTGCGGCGACTGTGCGGGCGATGGCGACAAGCTGCGCGGCGTATTCGCCGCATTCGCCGCATTGGCCTCCCTCTGTGCCTGCGCCTGGCTGAGCAGCTCCTTGTTGAGCCTATAGCTGCTCATCACATTGGCGCAGCTCTGATGGAAATAGAAATTACGTCCGCGTAGAAACGCATCTGTGTTGAGATCCTTTATGCCTGTCTTGAGAGAGTAGATAGACAACCAAGAACATAGCTTAGACTGGTAATCAAACTGAGCGAGAGCGGGAATCATATAGTTGTAAAAGAGTGTGCAAAGAAGAGTTATGCAGTTAGAGAGAGCGTGGGTGTGTGTGTAAGTCATGTAAAAATAGTGCAAGAAGAGTTAGGCAGTGGAAGCGGATCAAAATGATTCAACTGAAGAGAGAGAAAGAGTCACTGAGTGAGCGCGTGTGTGTGTGTAAAGCTTGCAAAAATAATGCAAAGAAGAGTTAGGCAGTGGAAGCGCGTACAAATGAAGAAATTGAAGAGAGTGAGTGAGTGCGTGTGTGTGTGGGTGTGTGTGTGTAAAGCTTGCAAAAATAGTGCATTGAAGAAACAAGTGGTGGAAGCGAGAAGGCGCATACAAAAAATTGAACTGAAGCAAACTGAGAAATTACCTTACAAATGAAACATTTGTTTTCATCGTCCGGTTTTAAATCCGAACTAATTCCCACCTTTGTGTCCAATTGTGTTAATCCCGGCACGCCCATTGATGATAGCTGCGACAGACTGTTCTCCATGGTCTCCGCATATTTGATTGCAGTTGTCGTATTGTTGTTGTTGTTGTTGTTATTATTGTTGTTATTGTTGTTGTTGCTGCTGTGTGAGATATCCATTGGCCCTGGCTCGGTGCTGCTAACCTGTGGCTCCGATCGCGGACGCTCCTCGTTGGGCGAAATGTTTTCCAAGCTGCTGTCAGATGGAGAGAGAAAGAGACGGCATGCATTTAATTGGATTGACGCTGTAGCTAATTAGCCGAGCTTTGCTTACCGGCTGCTGGCCACATTATCCTCCAGCCGTCGCTTAAAGCTGTGCGACTTGGTCGTCATTTTCACAGTTTCATCGTCATCCACAATGACATCCTCATCGCTGTCGTTCTGGCACATGGCCGTATCCATCATTAGCTCCTTGTTGTTGTTGCTGCTGTTGTTGTTGTTGTTGCTGCTGCTGTTGGCGCTGTTGCTATGCTCAGCCACGCCCACGCCGCAGGAGTCTGCATTGTAATAGTGATGTGTGGTAGATGACAGCTCGCTGACGTTTTTCACTGCACAGGGACAAGTGTACAAGGATCAATTATCGTCCCTCTCCCGACCGAAATGACTGTTCGACTTACCGCTGATGTGCGCCTGAGTGCTGGCCGTTGTCTCGCCCGACCAGCTGACACTGCTGCTGCTGGCTGCCGTCACGTTGGTGCTCACATCCTGCTCATCTCCATGCGCATCCTTCTGGTTAATAACGCACGCCGTGCGATAAAGTATGCCATCCAATTTGCCCGGCTGGGCGTTCGAGTTGTGCATGCTGGAGGGCGGCATATTGGGCGTCAGTGCACCTGCACCACCAGCTGCCGTTGGCAGCTCCGAGCCAGAGTCCGGCACATCATCGTTGCAGCTCTCCACATCCACCGTTTCGATTTCATCCTGCATCTTGGCGTCCTCCTGCAGAGGAAAGTTATTATAAATATATATAGAGGTAGAGAGAGAGAGAGAGAGAGAGTGAGTGCAGAGAGATTTGGAAAGGGTTGACTTACCTCTGGAGGCAGTTTCCCTGTCTCCAGCGCATATTTGCGCTTGCATATGGGACAGCTGCTACAGTAGAGACTCTCCATCATGTACATTTCGCCGTACTTACGCTTGCGCACCTTCAGCCGCAGTCGATTCTGTCGATTGTTGCGAATGCGCTGAAAGGTCTGAAAGACCAAAAATCCTAAAATTCCTTTCCCACTCTGGGTGCTCCTCTGGCCAACTTACCTCCCAGCGATTGTGGCTGGTGCGTATGGCATTCTCCTGGGCTGGGCAGGGCGGTGCGAACATGTAGGTGGCCTGGAGATTGGCGCGCTCGAAGCCGGCGCTCAGCTTGTACAGGCGGTCCAGCTCGGTGAGGAAGTGCGTATGCCATTCCTCGGGGCTCAGCTTCAGTCCACAGACGGGACAGAGATCGGGTATGGCGCCACCGGCAGCCGCCGCCTGCAAACCGCTGACCAGGCTCATGCCACCCGGCATTGCACGCAGTCCGGCCAGACTGGCCAGCGCGGCATGATGATGGGTCAGCGGATGTGGATGGGCATGCACCATATGGTGGTGCGTGGGCGGCTGCAGCTGCCCACCGCCGGCGCCCACATGATGCCCATGATGCTGATGCTGATGCGGATGTGGATGCGGATGATGGTGACCCGGCGACGACTGATGCGCACTGGCCAAATGCGTGGCCATGGAGACGACTGCGCTGCTGGTGGCCGCAGCCACGGCCGCCGAGCTAATGGCTGCTGCTGCCGCCGCTGCCGCTGCCGCCGAGCTGGTCGAGCAGGAGGACGACGAGCTGCTGGATGCTGTCGAGGAGGAGGCAATCGTATGCGCTTTGCTCACATTGTGCAGATCTGAAATTAGGCATGCCGCATTCATCAATCAAAGCCGCCGCAATGCCAAATGGCAATAAAAATTGAAATTCCGCCAGCTACGCGCATTGATTTCAATACCGAAATTCCTAAGCCCAATCGTACGTAAATCCCCCCCAGCCCCTGGCTGGCCCATAAATTTGCTGGCCAACTTCTAATTGCATGCTACACATTTTTAACACGTACTTAGCCCAAATTAATTGGCGCTCGTTATTTTTACTTGATGGGGCCATGGGGCCATGGGGAAATGGGGGCGTGCCCTTTGGATCTGCTGCTGAGCTGCTGTTGTCCTGCTGAACTCAGCTCAGCTACAGCTCCTCCACGCAGCTCCACTCGGCTTCAGCTCAGCTGTCAGCCGCACGTACACGGCAAAAAAAGTGGGCAGAACAAACCACAATAAATACAAACTGTTTGCACATCCAGTCGAAACTTCTGCACGTGACTGTGGCAGCAATTAAAATATTATTACAATAAAATTTAATATGCTTGCTGCTGCTGCTGCTGTTGCTGTTGTTGTTGTTGCTTTGGCATGGCAAATGTTTTGGTCTAAAAATACTGGCAACATAATATGCTGAATATGCGTTGGGTTAACCGCGGATAACAGTAACAGAAACAGTCAACGGACAGGCCAACAAATTTTGGCTGGAAAGGGTTGAGCGCAAACATTTAAAGTTCTCGCTGCGAGCTAGGCATAAATTCAAATATTATTTAAATGTGAGCATATATTATAATGAAATATGGAGTTGATATTATTTAGAAAGTCAATAATGTTTACTTTTATACTAACTATTTCTTCTAAGTATTTCCACTAATAATGTCTTCGAAGCAATTTCTCTAAGTTTGTTTTCTACGTATTTTCTTTAAGTATTTTTTGCAAGTATTTCTTCTAAGTAAATATTTTCTCTAAATATTTCCTCTAATTATTTCCTTAAAGTTTTTCTCAAACTATTTTTTAAAAGTATTTCCTCTAGATGTTTTTTTAAAGCATTTCTTCTAGTATTTCATCTAGTATTTCTTCTAAGTATTTTTTTTAAGTTTTTTTTTTTCGAAGTAATTCCTTTAAATGTTATCTCTAAGTGATTCCACTAAGTATTTCCATCAAGTAGTTCATCTAGGTATTTCCACTAAGTATTTTTTCTAGTATTTCTTTAAAGTCTTTTTTTAAAGTCTTTATTGCTTTGCTGAACGATCACACACTTAGCTTCACTTTACTACACTTCTCTTCACTTTACTGCTCTGTTCCACTAACCCCCACCAGGCCTGGGCGACTGAAGAAATGCTGCAGCTGCTGCTCTTTATATTGGGCAGCTTTCACTCAACCTCTAAGTTGCTCTCAAATGTTAAGCCCTACGCCAGGTAGAGATCGTTGCAATCGAACTTTAATTGACCAATGGGAGCACTCTCTGCTGCTGCGAGCATTCTAGCTTCGTTGTACTCAATTATGAATACTCCAGCATACATACAAGCAACTTGAGTGATCTCTGTAGTTGCTCTTCGTGCCTTGGCTTTGTTAGGGAGACAGAGAGACAGACGGAGAGACAGACTGTGAGAAAGACTGTGAGAGAGACATACGAACAGATACATAAGCAAACGAACAAGCTTAGTTAAATCGGATTACCTCATTACGCTGCTCAAGAATATATATAATTTATATATTTACATTTTAACTAAATTTTAAGGTATTGTGAAACATTAAATGCCTTCTCTTAAGAAATTCAACAAAGAGTCTAATAAAGTTAGAAACCTTTTGTAGACAGCTGATAATACTTGATTTAGCTATTCATATTTTCCATTTTAGTTTATTCATTATTTAAAAATATATATAAAAACCCCTTTCAAGCAATTTTAAGTCAAAATAATTCAAAAATCATATGCTTGTCTAAAATTGTAAAATAAATAACCAGAAATTCCTAACAGTCACGTGCCAATAGGGCGGGGTCCTGTCAAAGGGAGGCATTTCATATATAGCATGAAATATGACTTTTATAGCTTGCGTGTGTGTGTGTGTGAGTGCGTGTGTGTTTGTGTATGGGTGTGCCATTAATATTACAGAAATTAATATGAAAATTCCAAGTGTGCATTGGCTATAATACATCATCTGAGCAGCAACAAAAATAATAATAATAATAACAACAATAATAACAAGTAATGCTCATAATAACAATGCCAAACAATGCAATCAAAGCGATTTGCAACACTTGCGCATCCTTTGAAGGAAGCCAATGGGAGAAAAAAAAAAATGTGAAATTGTAAAGAAGAAGAGATGAGGAGAGATGCTGAATAAATGAGCAAACATTATGAGTTTCTGTCGTCGTCGCATAAGGGTAGTTAGGGGTAGCTTTAGCTGCCTCATAATTGGCTCAAGTGCCAGCGGCAAGCCAAAGAGTTGCAACAAAGTTGCAAAGGCTGAGTAATTAGCTGCCTCGTGCCGCCTGCTGCCTCCTGCCTGCTGCCTGCTGCCTCCTGCTTGTGGTTTGACTTTGTAGTGAAGTGGCAGCAGGCACACAAAAAACTCGACTCCTGTTCGAGTTAGCCTTGTGCGACATTTAAAACACTTAAGAAACACCCCTCGTAAAGCCTTCTTCGCTTAGCCCAAGGCAGTCTCATGTATTTATCTCCACTAGTTGGGCCATTGGCCTATTGATGCTGCAAATGCAGCTAATTAAAAGTGTATTATTTATTTAAATTAATTTATGACCTTAGTTTAGTCAGCTACTCGCATAAGCCAAAAGTTAAATAGACAAGTTGACATTGAGCTCAGGGTGAAGAGGGTAAAAAGGGAGGGGATTTACTCGTATGCGTGTGTGTGTGTGTGCGTAGAACTGGTTTTCCACTTTTAAGTCCATATGTAAATAAATGTGAAAATCAAACAAAATAAGTTGGTATTTCACTGTTGTCCCTGGTGCACTTGTTAGGGGATATAAATTGGGATGTAAATTTAGAGCAGTCGAGTTTTTAAATATTTTTTTTTTTTATATTTTAAATACAGCTGCAGTGCAATGGAATCGACAATTTGATTAATTAGATTAACTAAATTCACCTATAAAGTTTGAGCCCTGGCTTGTGAAAGAAATGCCTATATATTACATATGTAAATACAGTAGCATCTGGTTATAACGACTCCGCTTATACCGTATGGTTATTAAGACGAAGATTCTGGTCCCTACACAACGTTATATAAGCAAGCTTACATATATGGTTATAGCGTCTCCCAGCTATAGCAACGCTTCCTTTAGCACTGTTAAAACCGAACTCTACTGTATATAAATACAGTGAGTAACATTACTATTCGTTTAATTTAATTTTTAACTTCAAACCAATATAAAACATATAGTATTAATTGAAATATATACATATAAAGCATATTTATATGACATATAAAGTGGATCTATATTTATATATATTAATTTTATATTTGTTTTATATTTATAATATTTATTTTATTTTATTATTAATTATTCTACTATTTCATATTACAAAAATTTATCAGTGATTTTTAGTGTTTAACTGAGCATTTATTATGTAATTTACGCACATGTAAATATCTGTATTATATATATTAATTTTATATTTTTATATTGATATCATTTAGATTTTATTATTTTTTTACTATTAATTATTATAATATTTTATATTAAAAACTTATCAGTGATCTTTGCTGTTTCACTGAGCATCTATCACATAATCTACGCACATGGAAATATCTTATTAGCCTTATAAGCTCTGCGGCAGCTGCGCCCCTGCTAAACATTTGTTGACACAGCTCGCCCCTGTTCGAGTTGAGTTCTGGGCGATTTGCATTCATATTTATCAGGTTCATATGCTGTTGCTGGAGTGGTGGGCATAAGGCGCTTAAGGCCGACACCAATTAGCCACGCATTTTTAGGCAATTTGTTTTTGGCCCAGTTTGGTAGTGAATGGCGAGCGGCTTTAAAGGGGCGGGCGGCAACCCTCAGGTGAAATTGATTTGAATGTCTGCTCGAATAACAAGAGCAAGAAAAAAACTAATAAAAATACAAATCTAAAGTGCGGCCTGTCGCTTGTCTGTCCGTTCGTCTGTCCCTCTGTCTGTGCGTCCGTCTGTCTGTCTCATCTGCCCCGCCAGTCAAAGTTAAACCAGTGAAGCGTTAAAATTGCACACAGAGCAAAGTTAGATTGAAACAAATATGGCTAGATTCTGATCAAAAAGAGGCAAAGCCCCGCCCACATTTGCTGTTTTTTCCTCCTCTTTTTTTTATCGGCAAATATTTTTGTAACATGCAAATTTGCGAAAATCAAGTAAAGTGCGGAGTGCGGAGTGAAGGCCCAAGCTAAATATAAACCCAACTTACGTCTTAAATCCCTGGGATCCTGAGAGTTATTGCTGCGCGGACTTTCACCCTTTTCAACGGCATCGTAATCCTGTGATCCCTCCATGGATTCGTGTGATGTGCACGTGGGGCTGGCCGAATCCGTGCGAAATGATTCGTTGCCATTGAAAAGATTCTGAAGCAATAATAACAAACAAAAACCAAATTCAATTTCAGTTATGACAACTGCCAATCTGTCTCTTTCTCTCTCTTTCTCTCTCTGTCTCACCTGATCCAGGGATATGCCAATATACTTGGGCGGCGAGAAGGCCGACGGCAGCGAGAAATTCGACAGCACCGACGGCTTCCCCAGCGGCGAGCGCTCGCTGGCGAAATACCCGCCCGGAGCACCGGCCGCAGCGGCGGCGGCAGCTGCTCCATTTGCCGCCAGCATTCCATGGTTGAGCGTCTGCAGCAGATGCGGATGGAAGTTGTGTAGAAATTGGGTGCTATAGTTGCCGACTAGTGACATGTTGTGTAGATCTTTGGCGTCAGGTAACTGAAAGGAGAAGCAGAAGCAGGAGGCAACATGATTAGTTGGCTGAACGTAAGAGAAAGTTTCTGTTGCTTAGATTGTAATAAGAAAGGGGAATCTGGTAAGAAATGTATGTAGATAAATATTAGAAAAGGGTATGGAATAAAAATATAATAAGTAGTATAAATAAATATAAGCAATATATATAATTATAAGAAATAAATGAAAATATATAATACATACAAATGTAAATATGAATATAAGCCATTATGAACTAGAAATAAAATAATAATCTGACATAAATATAAACTATAAATATAATAAATATTAGAAATGAAAATATAAATATATCATAAATACATATATAATAATATAAATACATATATCATATACAAATATGAAATATTAAAAGTTCAGATTAAGATTTGAATGCTTGGTTTTTGATTAGGAATAAAATAAAATACTTTGCGTCATCAAGGTAGCCCTTTATGTTCTCTGTCAATGCTAGATAGTTTTTATATTATTAGGATTAGAGTCCCATGTTTTATATATATAATATTAATATATAATAAAATAAAATAATTAAATATTTAATAATAATAATATATAATAAAATAAAATAATTTAATATTTAAAATATTGAAATATTGTTCTATCTATTCTGTTCAAATACAATAATCAAATAACATTCTGTTGTATTCTTAAATAAAATAAAATAATTAAAAATTTAAAATAATAATTTAAAATAAAAAATATTTTAAATGATTAACAAATAGTTAAAATAATAAAATAATTCTTAAAATAAAACATATATTAAATAATTAATCAATTAAAATAACAAAAACAATTTTAAAGTAAAGCATAATTTAAATAATTAAATAACTAAATTAGCACAATAATTCTTAAAATCAAGCAGCACTCTATAATTTGAGCAAACGTTGATTTCAAATTAAATTGTGAATTTGTCAAATAGAGCCATGGTTAAGAAAAACAAAACAGAGTCTAAATGGAATATATCATTTTTAAAATAATAGTTCATCTTCCAATTCGAATTTTAAAATAGTTCTTTAGAGTTCTATAATAGGTCAGCTATGCACACAATCGATATTCCATCACATGTAGTGTAAAACATTTCTTTATAGATATATACTTCCCTGAGACTTGTTTCCCCCTTCTTGTATTCTCCCTCAACTTAACACTCATTTGCCCACACTTTTCCGCCTCACTTTGCAGCGCATTGCAGACGAAATTTGTATGTAAATTCAAGTTTTTTTTTTTTTTTTTTTTTTTTTTTTGGGCCAACTTTGTTTTGTGGGTGGCGATACTTGTCACACATGTCCTCGCTTATGTTGCTGTCTACAGGGAGTGTGTGTGTGAGTGAGTGTGTCCCAGACGCTTAGCACTCATCAGGCTCAATTTGTTATAAACGGTTTCTCTGTTTATCCTTTGTCGTTTTTATCATCGGTGCCCAAACCCTTGAGCCCAACCCTCAAACTCCACAAATATCCCATATCAGTTGCAAAGTCTTTTGTGTGTTTGCTAAATTCTCGCTCGTTATTTCACACCCCATTGGTGGCAGCCCCCCACCACACAGACACACCCCCTCCCACTCCCTCACATGACACAGTTTATGTGCGACAATGTCGTAACTCGAAAATCTCTCAATTTTGCGCCGTTTAACATTTATTTGTCGTAAATTAAACATTTTTTCCTTTTCTTTTTTTAGCGCATATTTTAGGGCAGCTTAGTTACTGATGAGCTGTTCTCTTATAGCATATATTAATACATTGTTCTGCACTGCTCTTAACTGTAAATTAAGATTTCTTAATAGCTAAATCTATATTTAGATTTATTTCTTGCAGCTAGAGTCCTCCAGCTCGACTTGCTCTGCCATATGTTGCCACGTTCCTCGTCTTCATTTCACTTCCACCTACGATAATTGGCCAATTTTTGTGCCTAGTCATGTAGCTAGCATAATTTTCATCTACCTCCCGCTCCTCTGAGCTTCTTAGCCAACTCCACATAAGGCGCATATTTTACGCTCACTTAGCTTTCGAAAACTCACGCAAAGTTATTAAGCAAAATGTGTTCCAAGAGCGGAAAATATTGATGCGCAAATTTGTAAGTGTGAAACGTGGTGTAAACAAGCGGATTGGATAAAGATATGATGAGGTAAACAATAGTTGAGGAAGGTGTAAATGAAGCAAACAAGCGAAGAAGTAATCTGATATATATGGTGCTTATATATTTTTATTTATCAAATATTATAGTGAGAGAAGTAATGAATTAAAGTAAAATATTAAAATTATAAATGTAAGTAAGGCAAGCAATCGAGTTTCATTTTGATCAATTAAAAATGAATTAAAATTTTGTGTTTTTGTTTTTTAAATAGAAATAAAAATTTTGTAAGAATATTTAAAGCGAAAATTTGGTAAAAATAAATAAATAAAAATAAACATGTCATTAATTATAAGCAAATATAATTTATGACAAATATAATTAAAAAATTATCTTAAAATTATTTATAATAAATATTTATTTAAAAAAATTAATATAAATATGAAAAGCTTCTACATATAATTTGCGATAATATGTAATAAAGTTAAATACAAATAATTATTTAAAAAAAAATATATCATAAAAAATATAAATTTATTATATACAAATTGACAATATTTAATATAAATATTTAGAAAAAGTATTTACAATATATATACAACAAATATTTTAATGAAATTTAAAAATAGCTATTTATTTAATTCAATAAATTTTAAATGCTTTGTAAGCTACTCCGTGAAACGACTCATTTATATTATTGAGCTATTTTATATCTATAGAAATTCATACTCATTTTGGCAAAAAAAATAAAAACTTAGTTTTATGTAGCTTTTTCTTATCACTTCGCAGCGCCATCTAGTCAAGAAATATATTTTTAAGCCAAACTAGAGTATTTTTTTTTGGCTATTCACCGATTAATAATTCAGGAATACCCCCATTGCAAATTGCTGATAATTAAGCGGCCATAAATTAACGCTTATCAAAACATTGACAGAACAAAATTAGTAACGCAACGCCATATAAATTGCAAGTGTGAATATCCCAGCTGCGGGCTTCATCATCATCGTTATCATCATCAGCTGCAATATTGCTAATGAGGCAAGATGGGGCGTCGCTGCTTTAAAGCTGTGTCCAAAATACACAAACAACTGCAAGTCATTTGCACCCCAGCCACGCCCCAAAAAGTGACGCCAAATGAGCTAGGACTGCCATGGGGATATGTAGCTGACCGTTGGCAACCGCATGAGTTGCATTTCGGCCAAGTCAGTCAGAGGCAAAGCCCCCCAATGAGTGGCACTGATTAAATGCCACGTGCACAGATGCTACACAGCATAGAGAGGGGAGGGGGCAATCAGAGAAGGGGTAGGAGTCTAGTTCCGAATGAGTACCGTCCAAGTGGTCAACCACTGTCGACGCACAACTTGGCTAATTTGTCAGAAAATTTACGGTACGCGCATTTAATGCAATATGCAAACTTGGCTGTTAGAAAATTGTTGGCATTGATTTATGTGCAGCAGGTGGCCACCCCACTTGCCACCCCCTTTGTGTGCACCCATCAGCACCCATGCACATTCGTTCACAATAGCATTTATTACAATTCACAATTCACAGCTCACATTCTTTGTTTGCATTTGCATTAGGAGGGCATTGAAATGCTTCAAGCCTTGTGATTTGTTGCTCTCTATCTCTCTCTCTCTCTCTCTCTCTCTCTTATTTGGCTTCGAGGGTTGCGGATTTGCATAATGCGCTTGTTCTTCTTGTTTGCTCTTGTTTTAACACTTGAATTATTGGGATTTGACACTGAGTCGAAGATTGTTGTAAAGCGACTAGCAGCTGTGACGACAATGGAGACAACAACAACAACAACAGCAACAACGACATCAACAACAACAGCTACAACAATAATAATAGCTTAATTACAACAACACGATAGCGAGTGGCGAACAGCCAATTGTCCACATACAATTGCCAATTTCGTTTAACTTGGTCATAAAACACAGCACAGACAACAACAACAACAACAAACACCAATAACAAGAACAACAAACATACATAGCTCAACACAACAAATAAATCTCAATTTGTGATCGGGCCACAAAACAAGAAAATGCCTCAAAATGAAACCAGAAAACGCTTAGCAATTGGCAATTTTCTCGAACTAACTGTTTATGGCCGCAACCTGAAGCATTTCGATTCTCCCCACTCCAACTTTGACTCCACTCCAGACTTTCAACTGAGGCCGATCAGGAGACGTCTTTAGTTATTAGAAGCTAACTCTTCTTTAGACTTTTCTACACTCGATGCTGCTATAAATAAGGTAAAGTGTTATTTTTCTCAGAATGAAACACATATCAAGCTAAGAGGCTCTAATTTGAAAGGCATTTCTGCCAACATTCGATAATAGTGAAATCTGTCTGAGTTGTCTTAATGTATTTTCTTGTATTAACATTATAATTAAATCAATTTAATATAATTTTATAAATGTGATAATTACAATGAAATGCTACTAGAATTATTTGATAAAAGAAAGGCAAATATATTTTTTTATTACTAAAAAGAAAATAATAAAATTTAGTTATACAACAAAAAGTTTCACTTTGTTGTGTTGAAAGCAACCGATATTAATGAATTATTTGAAAGTCTCATTCGAAAAATATTTAATAATTATTTGCTTTATCATAATGAACATTAGCTGTGTTATTTCCGTATAGAAACATGTTTTGTTCATATTTTCTAGCTTAAAGCGTAGTTTAAGCAATCAGTTCCTTATTACGTTGAATATGAATGCAATATTTTTAATATTTTTTTTATTTTTAAAAGCACTTTTTAACAGGTTTTACCTTCAAAAAAATTGTTTTTTAATTGTTGTGGCTTTTTTAAGCTATCACTATAGAAAAGATTAATTTAATTCAATATTTTTTTTTAATAAATAAACAAAATAATAATAAAAATATTTAAGGTAATGAATATTTATAATCATAACCTTTGTATGCATATAATTTATTTTTTCCAATATACTTTATAAATGACAATATAAAGTCATTTTCTGCACTAAATATTATTTAATATTATACATAAGCTTATAAACATACATTTACAGATAATATATAATGTATTTATTTATAATTACTTCAAATTTATTTTTCCAGAATACCTTTAAAAAAATTTTTTAAATACCGTTTTATAAGGGAATACGAAGCACTTTAGTGCTTTTAATTTGCTCTACAAGTTTATAGTTTTCTTGCTAGTTGTGTAGCCGTACACCCTAGCTAAAGTCTGCTCTCTATATGCACTTTATTCCCTACTCAAAGGCTAGGCCTGCCCTAACCAGTTATCCCTATATGATTATCTCTTGTTACATGCCTCGTTGCCTGTGCAATTGTCGAGCTGCGCCCTGATGAATTGCTATAAATGAAATTAAGCTCACTCACACACACACACACACACGCACACATACACAGGCGTGCAGAAACACCTATGTAGTGAGTGTAATAAGTGCAAAAAATAAAGTATTACATTTCATATGTTATACCAGCTCTGGCTCTCATAACTTTTCATGCTCGCCCTCAGGTCGGGGTTGCTCATGGTCTGGCTCTGGCTCTGGCTCAGGGTCTGGGTCTGGGTCTGGGACTGCCATCTTTTTTTGTGTGGGGGTCAGTCTGTTTATCTTTGTTGTTGTGGTTACCAGAATTGTTATGGTGTGTTGTATAATAATTTGTTGTTGTTGTTGTTCCTTGTGCTCGGGTGGTTAAATTGTGAGCGAGTAAAGTAAAACCAGATCCACATTAAACCATTTGACATTGCATTTAATATGCTTGCTTGGCTTGTTTTTATTAATTTTTATTGTTCGGGCTATGAATAATGGGAAACGGCGCAAGAAAAGTAACATAAAGTGTGTGAGAGAGAGAGAGAGAGAGAGAGTAAAGATAAGACTGCAGCTTGAGCAGCTAGAGTTAGAGCAATGTATGGGATTCTGATTGGATTTTCGAACTATATGCCAATGGGGAATGAAGAGAGCTTAAGCTCTGTGAATTGAGTTAGTTTTGGTGGACTAGGGTGATTTTCGCAGAGTTCCTTAAGAGTTCTATAAATATCCAATGCTTCTTACTTTCAGCCAGTGATTATCTTCGTGAGCCCTCCCATATTATCCGAACTGTCATCTACAAGTTGAGGACATATTGTTGTCATGTTTAACATATCTTAACGCTACTCAATGCTATGCAGCGGCTCGATTCCAATGCCAAATGCCTGCCAACCAGTTAAGTTAGTTGGCCAGCAAGTTATTCTGAATTCGTGACTGACTGAGCGCTCATCTTCGATTTCGAGTTCTTCATCATTTGTAGCATCAGCGTCAAGATCATTGCTCATGTTTACAATGATGACAGACAGGCGGGGGCAATCGCAGACAGTGCGAGTGGAGAGTGGCTCGAGGAGATGGAGGGGGTCGAGGAGATTGCGGAGATCGAGCAGATCGCGGAGATCGCAGCTCTCAAAAACAATAATCGCAGCATCCACTAAAGCTGGAAGCTGGGCATGGAGAGCTGTAGCTGGTAGCTGGTAGCTGGTAGCTATCATAAATCTGTTCATCGCAAAAATCTACACACAATGGGGCGTTTGCAAACGCATTCGTCGATCGAGGAATGCGACTCTGGCAACTGAAGCTGAAACTGAATCTGAATCTGAAAACTGACTGACTGTCGACTTTCGATTGTCTTCAAAGGCGACTCTCGTAGCGCTGTACACTAAGAAAAAACAAGATCAGCTATTGATAGGTATAGATATAAAAAAATTGAATAGAAAATAAAGAGAGATACTCGTATACGTAAACAGTTCTCATAGTTCTTAACACTCTTTTTTATATTTCTAACAACATTTTTGATCTTAAGTTGTTGATGATGAACTAAAATATGCAAAATAATTCCAAAATAATTTTAATATATATTACATATTTGTATATATTACATATTTGTATACAATATATTAGTCATGGGATATCTTTGATAGGTTAAGGATTATAAAGAGCCTATCTACCACTTAAATTGAAGAATCTTTATATTAGATTGCAAGTCTATGTAAGTCTAAGAACTTTAACTGAGAATGATTAGGTTTGAGCTGATTTTGAGACAGCGTTCTGATGAATATAATTGTTTTCCAGAGTTCCTAAGACAACCTGTCTATATAGATAGAATGGTATAAAACATATAGTTGCTTTTCTTTTGTATATAGAAATCTTATCGCGAATATAATATACAACATATAAAATACATATAACAGACAGTCTAACTGGAACATGTCACAATTTTGTAGGATATATAGAAACTCAAGTTCTATTATATATATTCATATATTCATATTCAATATATTCTATATATGCAATATATTTCCTTCATATTTCTCAGTGTATTCCGTTTAGTTGTATTTTGTTTTTTGGTTGTTTTATAATGCGCATTGTTCTGTGTGCAGTTGTCGGTGCCCGGTGTGCTGCTGATTTATAGCATTTGTGTGTGGATCAACCAGGTTTTTGGGGCTGCTACTACTACTACTAATACTACTACTGCTACTACTGCTGCTGCTGCTAGCAGAGGCCACTGGCAAGGCATTGGCATCGCCATGGAGTTTATGATTTGTCATAAATATGTCGCTGTGGCGGCGGCGGCAGCGTCAGCGCACGTCGATCGCAAACGACTTAGATCCGCAGCCGTTGGCTGATTGGATTGGGCTGATTGGAAATGTTTACTTACTCTTGCTGGAAACGGACGTTGGCCACGCAGTGCCTCATGCAAACCGGAAGCGGCCTCCGATAGTACAACAAGCGCTTGTGATGGCAAATGGCTGCTGACAAATGCGTTGCTTTCCATCTGCAGCTGTTAGCTCACGCGATTCTTGTTGTATTTGTTTGTTTTGTTTCTTATGATTTTTGTTGTTGTTAATTTGTTGCGAATTTGGCACGGGGCAGCATAACGCATTAAGTTTCACTTCAAAAATTAACAATAGTAATTGAAATTGTAATTGTAATGCAATTATGCATTAATTGGCACTGAATGCAAAATGCAAGTTAATTAAATTACACATATATATAGACAGACACATTTGCATGTGTGTGTGTGTATGCGCAAGTATTTGTCATATGTATTTGCCTTTAGCACACGCGCGCGACGGCACAAAACGTCACAGCTCTCAGCAGCACTCTTTCGGTGGCACCCGCACGTACGCGCTGTAGAAGTCCAACTGGACCAACTATTTTCAGAGACCGTTGAGCGCAGCGCTGCTGCCTCTGGTGTTGCTGCTGCGGCTGCGGCTGCAGCTGCTGCGCAGTCGCTCGCTCAGTCAACGCCTCTGGTGTTGCTGCATTGTGATTGGCTGGTTGCGTCCAACCGGTTTGACTGTGTGCGCCAGCTCGCTCTCTCACACGGCAGCGACGCCTGCTAAGGCTGACTGGTGCCTGGTGTTGATCTCCCCTCTCCCTTTGCTGCTGGCATTTACATTATGTTAACCTCTTCAGTCAGTTTGTTTTTGTGCATTATTATTCCAAAATGGTTGCAGAGCTAGCTGTTTGTTGTTGTTGTCGTTTGTTGTTGCTGTTGCTGCCTGTTTGTCTGTTTATCTGCTGGTTATTGTACGCCTGTTTGTCTGCCAGCACCTGGGACTGGTCCCCGCACAGTTCCCTGTCTCGCTCGCCCCTCCCTTTGGACATTTTGTGTAAATAAACCGTATGGGAAGCATTTTGACTTTGGATTGCCTGCTGTTGGCTGCTAGCTATTTGCTGTTGTTTTTGTTGTTGTTGTTTTGTGTGCTGTTATTGTTGTTGCTGTGGGTCTGGACAGTGGCTGCAAGTATCTTGAAGTCAGTCGTTTTTTTTTGCTTTTCTGTTATTTTTTTTCCTAGCTGCTGGCTTTTGTCTGCCGGACACTTAATATAGCGTATTACTGTGGTATTTATTGGCCAAGATGATGGCGAAAATTCTTAAAGTGATATGATAAAAAAGTGAAGGGATGCATAGAAGTGTTGTAGTTGAGAAAATGATGTATAGAAATGGTATAGTTGAGAAGAAGGAACAAAGAATAAATGTGCTGAATTTAATTTTGTTTTAGAATACCATTTTCCTTGCTTTTCACACTATATTTAACTTAAAGAAAAAATGAAATGAAAGTATTATATACTTCAGTGAATACGTTTAAAAATATTAAAATTTTTGTATATAACATTTGATTCAAAATACATTTTTAAATTAGCAGATTGATTTATAAAAACTATTTTTGTTAATATTTTTTATTTGCTTGTTTTTTAAAATTTTGTATAATCATAAAAAAATACAAAATTAAAAAAATATTTAAAATAAATATGAGTATCATATTGTGAGATAAGCTATTTAATTAACTTCATTTCAATCATCTTTTTTAAAGAGCTACATGTTATATGTTTTAGTAAAAATATATAATTTGCCTTATCTTAAATATATTAAATTTTTTGCAAATAAGTCTTCAGGATACTCTTCATAATATTTATCTATATATAAGTAATATTACTTTCTAGTTTTGTTCATGTCTTCCCTTTAACAAATCAAAGAATTTTACGAACTATTCTTCTCCTCAGCTCGCTCTTTTTCCAGCCCACTGTTAACTCTGCAGTAAACCCAAATAGTTGTGCCACAGCATATTAATACGACAGCAGCTACAACAATTACAAGACACACACATGACAACACAAACAGAGCAGAGCTTTAAACTAACCAAGACAAAAACAAGCTGAGACTAATGGAAAAACGAAGCTGTTAAAAATGGGTTTGTTGTGATTTTGAAGAGTTCCGAATTTTTTTTTTTAACAAAGTGCATCAAATTTTTGCTTGCAATTTGGCCACAGCAAAAAGATAGGTAGGAGAGGCGGCCAACGCCTGAGAAAAACGAGGGAGTGGCAAGAGAAAAAATGAAGGTAGCTGAGGCGGCTGCAAAAACGCTTTTGACATGTTTTATGGGTGCCGAAGAAGTGGAGCCTGTCGAGCAGTTCGCCTCGTGATCTCCCAGTACGATATCGCATTGGACATATCTTTAATTGGTGCCTAGTAAATTTAGCTTTGACCATGTTTGGGCCTCGGGCTCGAGCTCGAGCTCGGACTGCGAGAGAGATGTGACGGCGTAGTCTTGGCTAATTTTTTGCTCATTATATTTACATTTCAAGAATTCCAGCACAGCCAAGCACTTTATAATTTTGCTGGCATTGCTTGGTTTATTACCAGCACAGAGAAAGCCAGAGGAGGAGGAGTGAGATAGAGAGAGAGTGAGAGAGAGAGAGAGAGCACGCGAGACAGTTAAAGAAAGAGAGATAGGGAGAGAGAGAGAACTGGTGGTGAGGGAGTGCCAGAGTGGGACAGCTAGGGAGTTGCCTCTCGCTCAGCGCATGCGCTCAGCCAAAAGACTCCGCTGCGCGGTAGCCTACATTATGTGCCTAATGCCTAGTATATATGCTAGTAAATACATAGGGGAGGACTTCACTGAACACCGGAGAGCATCGAGAGGTAACCAAGTGCCAAGGCAACTACTGCCCATGTACAGCTACAGCTACAGCTACAGCCATGGCTACAGCTGCTCGCTTTTTGGACTCAACTGCATTTGGCTGGCAGTAGATTTTTCATTTTATTTATGTGCTGCCTTGTGTCTTCTGCTGCTCCTCCTCTGCCCCCGTACCCCTAGGCCACCTCTCAGCCACTTCTCTGATTGCTCAGCAAAGTATTTTTTTTTTTTGCTTCTTGTATTTCTCAGTTTGTCAGCTTCTCGCTACAAAATTAAATACTTGTCTTTGTGTTGTTTTTTTCTTTATGGCAGCCATGGGAGGTAGGGGGCCATAGGCGTGGCCATGTGTGTGTGTGTGTGTGAGTTGGCCATAAAGCGAGTGCCATTTTGGCCTGGCAGCTAATTTATGTAGTGGCTAAGAAAGCAGCTGCTGCGTTTTAGCTTTTTTCACATTTCACACACTTCTTTAATAATTTTGCCAAACAATTTTCTATAATTTAGTTGAGTTTCAGCCCAAAGCTTTGGCTTTTAATTGGTTAAATTTTATATTTGCTTTGTGGACTCAACTGTTGTATTATAAGATATAAGATATTTATATATATTTTTGTATATACGTATTAATAATTTTAGAAAATCATGAAAATGTTGTTCGAAAATTAATGAACAGCAGATATTTTCCGAGTAGAGATCATAAATAAAATTATTTTCAGAAAACAACTTGAATAAAATATATTATATGTATTATAGGCAGTAAAAAATATATATCTGATATATAAATTTATATATGTTTATACAAATTTGATAAGCAAATTTACTCAAGACACAGCAAAACATTTTCACTCTGATTCTATGTCTCATTAATAAGTCTATAAATTGTAAAAAAAAAAGAAAGCTAGTAAAGCTTTACACAAAAACTGATAAATATTGTAGATTTAATGTGTATTTTTTCTTGATTATTAAGTCTACGAAATTTATCTAAATATTTAAATACCCTGAGAATTTAAGCTCAAGCAAACGGAGAAAGTGTCTGGGATCTACATACATGAATTTATGAGCAATCCAAAAACAAGAAGATTTGGTTGGCTGTAATTTTTTGTATTATATCAAATTAAATAAGAATTTGTGAAAAAAAAATGTTAATGCTTTTTTAGATAGATATTTAAGCAAATAATAAAAATATATCAAAAAATATATTAATAATAAATTTGTCTTTTATAACTAATTCTAAAATTAACCTTAATTTCAAATCTATATTCTGCCAATCAATATTTCGGATTATTTCCAAGTTTCTCCCACATGCTTGAAGCATCCCTATCAGTTTCTCATATTCTACAGATTAATGCTACTAAGCTAAGCTAACTACTTACTACTCAATCCGGGCAACTGTCACTCGCCTAATCCTCCCCTCGCCCACTCGCTGCACCTGCTCACTGTGTTTGCTGCGTCCCGTAGCGCCCCTTGCAAATACCAGTCAGCCACGCCCACGAATTAATTGAAACCGCAATCGCAAGTGCGAAGCGTTAGAGCTGTCAGAGCCAATTCCAAGCGCAAGCCAAACGCAGTCAAACATCTGCGACTCACATAAAAAAAAAGCCAAAGCAAAGTCCGAAAACACATAAAAAAAATACCCAGAAAAAAAAAAAAAAAAAAAAAAACAATAGCAAAACCGAATCCTACACAAATCCCAGACAAATGTGCAGTGGTGAAAAATTCACCGATACAGATTCATGTAAATATGAATGGAAATGAATTACAAGCGAAATAAATGTACGAAAATTGCACGAAACAAAGCAAATCGTGCAATAAAAATCATAGTAAAAAGTGGCAAAAAAAGAAGAGGCAAAGCGCTAACATGTTTGTCGACGGGTGGCTAGAGAGAGAGAGGGAGAGAGAGATGGGGAGAGAGAGTGGCAGTGTCAAGGGAGGGAGACTTTTGTGGCTTTTTTCGGTTGCCAGCGCAATGTTGACATGTTCCAAATGCAATTTTAACAGGATTTGCAAGAACACATTTGCACAAAGTGACAGAAAAACGCAGGCAACAACAACAGCAACAGCAACCGAAACAGCAACAACAGTTACAAAAAACGTCAACCCCCATAGTCGTCGGATAGCAGTCGCAACTCCTGCCCGATCTCCGTTGTCAACCTTGTTGCGTGCGTGGCTGGCATAACTTGCGGCTTAAAGGGCTCAACTTGTCATGTCGCCTGCCGCTGATGTCCGCATTGATTTTCCACTTACGTCGACAACAGTCTCTCTCTCTCTGACTCTGACTCTAACTCTAACCCCGGTCCAATCCCAAAGTTGGGGTCTCGGGTCAGCTGCGGTCTTAACGCTTCATCAATATGCTTTTGCCGGGCGCCGCTAATTTTCGCTTTAGTCAACCATCGAGGCGAGTGCTACGTGCAGATTTATGTCCATCCCGGCTGGACAAAACAAGTGCCTGCCCCACCTTAGACACTGCGAGCAAAAGAGATAGAGAGAGAGTGAGTCTTCACACACTCACACACAGTCTCCTGCTTATGCGTGTGTGTTTAGTGTTAATCCGTCAATGATAAGCTCAATTTGTTGTGGTCACTCAGCGACAATGACCGTTCGAGCCTTGCCAACTTATTGTGTTGCATGCTTTTTGGGGCACATGCCAGCAGACAAGCGGAGGGAGGGAAAGGGGCATGGCAACACATAGACCATTAAAGTTGTATTAGACAATGTTGCA